AGGAGGACCCCAAGGGCTTCTCACCACAATACTCTGGCAGCTCCTTCATGCCCTTGGGTTTCCGAGTCTACGCTAGTTCCTGCTCACGTGACCTCACGAATGTCCTCTATTTTGTGAATGGGGCACTGCATGAAACCTAACTCTCTTTATTCTACAGAAAGTTGGAACAAAGCTGCCTAAGGCAATGTTCTGGCATCCAGTGACCTCAAAGCAGGGGAAAATGCCTAGATTTAGTGACTCTTGAAGACTACCTCCCACCCCACCCTCACCCTACTGTATAGATAATAGAAAGTGTGTCCTGGAGCTGGAAATCACTGAGATATGGCCCTTATACCTTCCTTTGTGTGGCTCATTTCTACTGATCTTTTGGATTCAGCACCAGTGACACCTCCTGGAATCCACCCTTCCTATCATCCCCTCTGAAGTCTATCCTAAAAGAGATTAAGGGGCCCCTGTCTGTTTTTCCATTGCTTTCTGTGAAATCCTCTATCACAGTGTAATTCCATATTGAATAACAAAGTTATTTGTCTTCCCAAATCTGGGTGCCTCTGTCCTTTTCACGATGTATTTATATTATTGAGCATAAGCCCTGCCCCTCATCAAGCATGTCTTACTGGACTCAAGAATAATATGCCTAATTAAGCCTAAATTGGAGAGTGTGATATAGTCTACAACTATATTGAAAGACAGAAAATCTTGCTTTGGAGCGCAGTCCTGCTACAACCTAGGGCAAATCTAACTTTTGTTGGTCTTAATTTTCAAATCTATAAAAATTAGAATGATTATATTGTTTTCTATGTAGAATTGATGTGAAGGTTAAAGGATATACTGTAGGTAGAATGCTTAATCACATATAGATATATCCATTAGGTTTTCTTCTATTTTACTATCTTTGAGACTGTTGTATCACTCTGTATCAGGCAATCTCACAACATCCCTATAAGGTAGGTACCCTGTGATTGTTTTTCGGGTAAGGACACAGAGTCACAAAGAGCTTCATTATCTTACCAAAGGTCACCTAAGTAGTAGCTGGGAAGCTTAGATCTGAACCCAGGGCCTCTGATGTCTGAATTCACACTCTTAGCCACTGAGCTCAAGTGTTTTCTCACATGTCTGCTAAGATTCAGCCCCGGAGTGAGTCTTGCTTCTAGCCTTCCTTCTCTTAAGCCTATAATGTAACAGCAGCAATTTACCCCCTATGGAAAGTTCAACCTGACCCCGCCTCGCCTAGTTTTCAGTGTTCCTACGGAGCTATTCCAGGGGATGCCCCTTTTACAGGGCCAGGAGTGGGAACGCAGCATTAGAAAGCTGTTTCCTTAAAGTCTCCGAAGTCAGGGAGAGGTGATGTCCTTTAGTCCATGAGCGCTGGAATTAGAGCCAGATACTCTGAAGGCAAATCACAGCTCAGCCAGTAAGTAACATGCCTTGGAAAGCGGCCTTGCTTCTTGGAATCTTTTTTTAGATTTTTTCCCCCCACATCTCTAAAACTGGTATAAAATCCTCCTCTTCTGAACATTACTGTGGAGATTAGATGAGTCAAAAGTATGTAAGAACACTTTGCAAAATTACACTGAAACGAAGGCAAGTAATTATTACCTTTCCAAGGATGCAAATTCCCCTCCCAGCAAACCATTTAATATGTGCATATGTACAAAAAGTCAACAGAGATCATTTCCTAAGCATTATCACCAATCAGAAGGTCCAGATTGCTAAAAGAGGTTGGAAAAGATTTATGAAGATGTTTGCTCAAGTCTGAAAGTGTAGACAGAGCAGGGACATTGAAGAAAGAAAGTGACATCGTTCCACTTAACGGAAAGTACCGTGTCCTCTCTAGGCTCTTCCAAGAAAGACAGGGCATATTCCAAATTCCATTCAGACAGTGAACAATGTCACTTAAAACTTACCAAAATATCGACATATAACTGACCATCTGAGACTATTTGACCACAGGGGGTATTCTGAGTCTGTGGTTCATTCCACAAAGCTATATTCCTGGGAATCTGGTACAGAGCTTGGATCAATGAGATCTGTTATACTTCTGCTAAATCATCTCCCTGCTACACCAGAACTTGGTGGAGAAAGGAGCATCAGAAATGTAACATCAGTAGGAAAATGTAACGGACTTAAACTTAAATACAACATAAAGATGTCGTTTGGGAGATCCCACTGTCATTCTCTGTGTGTGGAAGAGATGGAGTCAGGAAATCAAATTCTTGCACCTGTGAACTAAAAGGGAGGGCGCTGTGATGGCTCCAGAGGCAAAGAGAAGGAAACAGCAGCACCGTGACCTTGAGGAAGATGGGCTTTGCTCTGAGCACACGTTCCAAATGACGGGAGGGCTCCATAAAGTGAAAATGGGTTTTCAAAATGACATTAAAAAGAAAAGGTGACAGTAAATGGCCTTCTCCTGATTAATCACAGGATTAAAAGCTGAAGAACTCAGGTCCAAACAGCCTCATGGCAGGGATGGAAAAAAAATCCAGCCTCAGCTTAGAAAAAAAAAAAAAAAAGGTACA